AAAAAAAAAAAAAAAAAGTTTTAACTGTTATAAAATACGGGAAATATAAAGAACACAATGTAAAAACCGGATAAAAATTATAAGGAGCTTTCTTTCTTTCTCTCTTCTTCACTTTCGTACAACAGATACACAACTTATCTTGCCTTTTATAGGCAAAGTGGCACGCATTTCTATACAATAATGAAGAGATAATATTTATTAGTGGTAAATCCACTTATCATAACACTCCCCCTTGGAATTACCACTATTAAATGTGCGTTTAGGCTGCCTCGTTAAAAACCTTATCTGGAAAAACCCTGTGGGAAAAAAACCGAGACAAGGAAAAAAGAGTACAGCCGCACATACTCCCCCTCGAGTTATCATCCGCGCAAATCCTGAAGATGTCTCATTCCAATATTGTGCACGTGCTTTCGAAATATTGTCGTCGTAAGCGCCTTCGTAAACAAATCTGCTGCATTATCGCTTGATCGGATGTATTGAACTTTGATTTGTTTGTTTCTTTCAAGCTCTTGCGCATATAAGAATAACTTTGGCGGGATATGTTTAGTTCTGTCATTCTTGATGTATCCTTCTTTTGTTTGAGCGACACATGCTGCATTGTCTTCGAATATCACTGTCGGGTCATTATTATTTGATAGTCCACTGGTTTGTTGAATGTGTTGAGTCATGTTTCTGAGCCAGATGCATTCTCTAGTTGCTTCATGTAATGCAATGACCTCGGCATGGTTTGAAGACGTCGCGACTAATGTTTGTTTCTGGGAACGCCAAGAAAATGCAGTTCCGCCAATCGTAAAGACGTATCCAGTTTGAGATCTTGCTTTATGGGGATCTGAGAGATATCCTGCATCTGCAAAACCGATTATTTCATGTTTTCTATCGTTAGAATAAAACAGTCCCAAATCGATTGTCCCTTGGAGATAACGGAATATATGCTTAATTCCATTCCAATGTCTCCTCGTAGGTGCCGAGTTATATCTCGCCAACAAGTTGGTAGCAAAAGATATATCTGGTCTGGTGCAATTTGCAAGATACATAAGAGCCCCTATTGCACTCATATATGGTATTTCAGGACCAAGTATTTCTTCATCTTCATCACAAGGTCGAAATGGATCCTTTTCGACAT